TTTGAGGTGATAGAGAGTGCAAGGGAATTTCTTTGGTTTTATCAAAATAAAGTTTTACAGACTAAAACATGTAAAAAGAGAGGAAGAGAGGAGGTACTCCGCTTCGAAGAAGCATTTTGCTTGTACTAAAAGAAAAGATTATTTCGATTGCAGGCACTTTAACAGGTCCTTCTAAGCCCAAGAGCAAAGGAAAGAAAGGGCTGAGCTTTACCACGGGTAGGTGTCCCCATTCCTGAAAGGCAGGAGGGCAAGACAGGGTCTGCAGCGTCCTTCCTGCGAGGCCTTTGCGGACAGCAGTTCAGACCTCCCTCTCTCCCCGTTTGAGACCCACACTGGACTGTGACCTCTTGCGGCTCAGCAGGGAGCTGTTTCTGAAACTGGAGAATATTGTGAGGTGGGGATTGTAAGGTCTCCCCCAGAACCTGATAATCTCTGAAAAGAAGGAAGAACGGCTCCATAGTCTGGTGTAAGCTGTGTAAGTAGGATGGGGGACGTGACTTAGGTCTCAATTAATATTTGATTGTGTAGTGAATAGCTTCAGCTTCAAGAAACTGAAAAGTCTAAAGCTGTGGACAAAGCGCTCAGCTGGGAAGTTGGTTCAAACCCTTCTCCTGGAGCAGGGGTTATTTGTATCTTGGCAGGGAGGTGAAAATACTCAGCATTATTTCTGCCTTTGTAGTTTTGTGAATGACATCTAAGTTCTTTTGGGAGTCCAGCTCAGAAATCAGCGTAGCCGGTATAAAAAATTCTGCAGTGAACTGTTGCAGCATTTCCAATTTAAATGCATGTCTTCACATACATGAACATGTGTCTGATGCAGGTCACTAAATCTGGCCCAAATACATTAGTATTTGAAGTCACAGTTTTTAGCAAATGAATGATTTGCCTAAAGAACTTTATCCAGCTTTACGGAAAATACTGCGTAGAAAAATTAAGAAAAGGCAACGGTACACTGCTAACTGAGTTCTTGGTAGTTCTGGATTACACGGGCTTTGTCTTCTGATTAGTACTTCACGGTGCTTGTCTCCACTAACTCACTATCCAGTCAGCTCTTAGACCTTAAAACATTCATCTAAGGTCTGTTTTAGTGGCCCACAGTCTCAGTCCTTCAAAAATACAGATGACCCATTTCAAATTGCCATCTTTCCTAAAAACTGCTGCGTCTAGGTAGCACCCTTGAGCTCCCATCTGATGGCAGACTAGGCGCAAACATCCTATGATAAAATATTTTCCTTTCTCCTTTAAGGATACTTTTCTGCTTTCCTTTGCAGGATACCTGAACTTGAAAAGAAGAGAGTGTTCCCTGGGGAGTTACCATAGTAACCTGTGATGTTCCTGTGTTGTCTGAGATTAAAAAAAAGCAAGGGAGAAATTACAGAGAAGAATTTTATACCTGAGTTTATCATCTTTGCATAACACCAAAGCTGAACTGCGTCTGCAACTTCCTAGAACAATAACACTCACCTTGGGGCTGATATCAGGTGGGTAATGTTCATTGGAAAAGAAATTAAGAGCGCTATTTATTATTCAAGAATCTTGATTAGAAAAAAAATTTATTCTACATCTTAAAGATGTAGTGAATAACAAAGAAAATGAGATCATTAGAAACGCAAAGACGTAGAAGTGAGAATAGCTGCTACAAATAACGTCTAAACTTACAATGCATGGATGCCCTGCATATTCTGTTTTCTTCTTAATAGGGTTCAGTGATACTCTCCTTTTAAACATATAGTCAAAGAAAAACTCCAGACTCAAATTCTCTTTGCAAAGTGACTTCAGGTCTCACAGTGCACACATGGAGGTTATTTTTGAGCATCAGTACCAATTCAGCAGCAAACATAATTTGAATATTCTGAATAAAAACAAAAAATGTTTTAAAAGAATGTGATAGAAGAACAATCTATTTAAACTGCTCTCAGTTATGAGCATCAAAGATAGAGGGAAGTCTGGGTTCAGGAAAGGGCTTGAGAGCTGAGATACAGAAAGGTCATTTCCGTGAAAGATAACCCAACTGTGCATTGCTGGGGAAAATCAAGGACAAAAGAGCAAAAAGTGAGTTGTGGGAAGGTGGTATCTGCGTGCATCCGACTCTCCGTCAGGGGATGCTTGCCGCCCTTACCCCCACCCCGGTGCGTGGTGACTGCTGGTCGTGTCACAGTCCGGCGCCTTTGTTCCTTGTTACATACCATGCATGTGAGCTGGCACTGGCGGGACCAGGCAGGGAACCAGCTAGGAGGAGGAGAAGCTGGGGCAATCTTGAGCCTCTTGCCTCAAATCAAAAAAGCAGCTAGAAACAGGGCTGTTTGGCAAGAGCGCAGGGAAAGGGAACACGACCGACTTTTGTAAGCAGGTGAGTATGTGTCAATGCTTCATTTACTACGGCTGAATTACCTAGCTCAGCCTGATTTTGTGCAGCTTCCCTCAAAAAAATTGTCCTTCCTGCCCATCTCAGTTCCCCAGCCTTTTTACGGGATTATTTAGTTCAGAAATACTTGAAAATGATAACAGAGCCTGAGAGAACTTGAAATGCCTCTGTGAAGCGTGGGTCAATATCTTTACTGCAGTGCAAAAGAGCTGACAGAGATGCTGTCAAGTTTAATTGTCCCCAAGATAATGTCCTTCAATACCGAATATATTAAATGTTTCTGTTTGTCCTGAAAACATGCCATATAAACACTTTAAATATAAGTGATTTTAACAGCTCTAGCCACCTACCCAAGCCACTCACTGGCAGGTGGGTCTTGGCTCACAATACCTATATTTTCTGTTTCTTATTTGGATATTTAGGGGCGTCTGGGGTCATTCTCTCCTTGGCTGACTTTCCTTTCAGCCCTGGGGTTGATGGTGCAAACATCTGATGAAAACCTAGGCCTGCAAAATCACAGGAGCCATGTCAGGGAGTGTTTTGGGAGACATGTTCGCCACCCTTCTTCCCGCAGAGGGGTGCAGAGCTCCCAGAGCATGAAAGCGGACATCGGGCAAGTTGGAATGGCTGTGGAGGAGTGTAAGAGGGAAAAATACACAGTTGAAAGCACAACACAAGTGGAAAAAATGAACTTTGAAATTGCAAGGTTGTTGCATACTGTGGGAAATCCTTTTTAGCAGAGCAATATAATGAAAACGCTAGTTTGATGTGAGATAAAACATACAGTGATGCAGAAGACAACCTTGAGAGCTAGACTGAGACCCTACCACAACAAACTCTACCACATATTATTGCAACAAACCTATATTGCAACTCCCTCCAAAACTCACTCTCGCTTTAAGGGTTTGGGGATTTAAAGTACCACCAACAATTTTCTGAATTTTTGGATAAACTTGGGAAGGAGGAGGAGAAGGAAGTAGTTATGTGATGCTGGCTTTCAGGAGCCAAATGGAGCTAGGAGAAACAATACAACAGGAAGCAGCATGGTAGACAGTGCAGAGGGGTGGGAAAGAGCAGTGGAGAAGACTTTGTGGACAGGAAAGACCATGGCAGGACAGAGGTGCTGGGAGACAATGTCATGAAAGAGCTGGAAGAGATGAGGAGTTGGTGAGTTACATTTCCCAGTGTCAACAGCACGCCTAACACTTTATGGAAAGGTATGGAGATGAAGTTTGTGAAGGTAAAATTCTCCTCACCAGCTGAACAGGTAGAATTGGATTTCATAAGGGACAGTAAGGCAGCTGGAGGAATTCAAGGAGGAAGAGGGTAGATCTAGGTGAAATTTGACAGCCAACCTCTTTTTTCTAATTAGAAGAAGGCACATTGCAGAGATTTAGCTTTAAAAAAAAATACATACACACAAGACATTCAAACAAGTTTATTATAAAAAACAGTTTAACCTCATCTCATCTTGAAAATTTCATGTATTTTATTTTTACGGGAACACATTTTATTTTGATGAGAACTGCAGAAAATAAGACTTTCTTTGGCATAAAACTTATCTGGCATTTTGTGTTCATGAAAACACACTGAATTCCTTCATTTCTCCAAGTTTAGTTATGACTAGAAGGTGATTTGGCCAGGAGCATTTTGGGCAGAACAAACAGAGAAAGGATATTGAACAGATGAGTCTGAGTTTTCTGCAATTGAAATGAGAAGAATTGGAGGTACAACTTAGCAGGATGGATTTTGAAGTGATAAGTTTTCTGGTGATGTGAGAAAGAGGCAGAACAACTGTAAAAAAAGCGATGACACATTGCTATTGCAAACCTAGAATGTGAGAGACGTAATGGAGCTATCAAAGAATACAAAGATAAGAGAAACTGTGGAGAAATGAGAAGGAAAGATGGAGAATTATGTATGGAGTGCGACAGTGTTTGGAACGTGCTGATAGGAACTTGTCAGAAGAATACGTGAAGAGCAATAGAGCTCTTCCAGTCCCGATGGCGCAGTGCTGTGGTTTAGATTTTTAATTATCTGTGCACACTATATCATTCTGTGTTCTTCCTATTGATGGTGCTGTCAATTTTAAGATTAAAAAACACGGCTGCCATCATACTTTTGTGGCCTCTTGTTAGCAAAGGTTACTGAGCATCCACTGGAAAAAGCTGCTCTTAGGGCCAGTTTCAAAAGTAATGACATTTTTTCATCCTTTAAAAATGTCTTACTAGGCATCTTTGAAAACTTGTCTCCAGCCCCATAATTTATTTTAATTAATTAATTTATTCTCTATCCTCGGAGATATTCAAAAGCTGTCTGGACACAGTCCTGGGCAGCTTGCTCTGGGTGACCCTGCTTGAGCAGGGGGGTTAGACTGGATGATATCCAGAGGTCCCTTCCACCCTCAGCCATCCTGTGATTCTGGTATTCGTTTACCTGTTGGTCAGCAAGGAAAGGACAATTCTGAGGTGTTCTTACATCTTAACTCTTTACATGTCTGTAAAAATGAGGTAGAGGGATAAAAGGAGAGTCAAGGTTTTTGCATAAAATCTTGTGGTGTTGCCATAGCACTGGTAAATCTACTAGTGCCAGTATTCTCAGATTTTATGAACTATGTTTCTGGTGTATTCCCTACCTTCCAGTGTCAAGGAGGCAACACAGTTGATTGTGGGAACTTACTTCTTTGCTAGTTTCTGTTATCTAATGTAATTTAATTTGGACCTTGAATTTTGGTAATAATTCCGTGCATTTATGTTCCCTTTTCTATCAGTCCTGATAAAGCTTCTCCAAAACCCCTGTGTCATTTACCAACGGAGAGTGGCCTCTCGTGGAAGTCCTGGAGAAAGTGTTTTCACACAGACTTACTCAGTTTACTAAAGAAAACCCATGTCTGCTTGTGATCTGATGAACCACAACATGCAATGCACAAGGACTGACATAGATTGTACCACCCCACGAGTGAAACTGAGTGATGAGACATTTATCTTTATTGATGGCAAATGGGTGAACGAAATTTACCATCAGCCACCCTTTGCTTCCCACGAGAAGCACTTCAGCAAGAAGACACAGAGTGAATGGAGCATCTGGGAGGAGAATAGAGCACTCCTGGAGGAAAACAAAGTTCTCCGTATTGAAAACAGCATGCTGCAGGAAGAAAACAAGGCTCTTCGGTGCCTCCAGGCGCAGAATAAGACTGTCAAGGTCATTTATGATGACACTATTCATCAGGGCCTCCAGAAGGAAAAGAGGTCATTCCCAATCTTCCCAGACAGCAACATAGGCTTTCAGATCAGCCAAGATAACAAAGCTCTTCAGATTGTCCGGGGAAAGAACAGAGCTTTAGAGATCTTCCGGCAGCAGAATAAAGCTTTCCCCATCATTTGGAAAAACAAAAAAGCCATTGCAGTCCATGAAGAGAGCAAAGACACAAGCTCAGTTCTTCAGAAAGACACTCAAACTATCACAGATCCAGAAGAAGGTAACCCTGATCTAGCCCCCCAGCAGGAACACGAAGTGGGGAGCTCCAATCCAACCCAGAATGAGAAGAGTGCCCCAGCCATGCAGGGTGAGTATCCAATTGGCCAGGCCATCCAGAACTTATACCAAGCCCTCCAGGTCTTCCTGAAAGAGGACTATATTCCCTCTGGAGAGAAAAACTCCCTGAAAGAGGACTATGCTCCCTCTGGAGAGAAAAAGGACATTCAGATTCTCCAGGAGGAGAACAAAGTCTTCCAAGAAGAGAACAATAAATTGAGACTGCAGTTGAATGCCGTGAAAAACACTGTGTCAGATATTACAGCTCAAATGGAAATGCTGCAAAAAGAGCTCAGTGCCATCACTTCCCCAGTGTTCGAAGAAGCAGGACAAATACTGGCAAGTGAATATCAGCTTGGAGACATGTGAAACTTGCAGCTAAACCTGCTGGTTCAATTTCCTGTAAAGCACCTCTCCTTGTTTCAAGGAACTCAATAAAATCCCAGTGGAATCTGAAGAAAAAAACCAGCTGGTGAACATTGTGTTATTCTGAAACTTTCTTGTATCACTTGGATGCGTTTCCCCTTCTGATAACATGGGAGTGGGCAACTGTCATGAATTTGCCTAGTCCCAGAAAAACATGCTTTTTGGCATATTTTAAAAGTTTCTAATAATAAGGCTACATTTTCAACAGATAGCTCATGCTTTTCTCACTTAATCTGAGGTACCTTGGAACGGCCATATTTACCAGAGGGATAGGCACTTTCTGAAAACCAGGATTCCAACTGGGAGCTGAGTTTGGAGCCCTGTTGGTCCCTTTCTTTTGATGCCAAGCTCAGTGGCTGAACTATGTCTTCTGCGATGCACCAGCCTTACCTTTCTCACGTAGGCTAAGCAATGAATCATGGGAAATGTGGCCTCACGGAGGAGACAGGCCCATCGAAGAGAACGGGACACAGAAAACCAAACTACCTCTTCCATGAGGCACTATATACTAGCATAACCGTAGTGAAATATTTCCAATTAATGAAAAATAGTGACATTACCTGACAGGAGTTTTCTGTAAAAACTTCCCATGTTTTTTCAGAATGGAAATGCTAAGTGTTTTTTTGAAACTAACTAAGGCTTTTACTTACTGCAGTTCCTGCGGATACTCTTCTCCACTAAAATTGGCACCCTACGCTGTTCTTGCTAGTTCCTTTTCTCGCTCCCACATTCTCACTTACCTCATTATCTCTTTCTCTTGTTTAAAACTTGTCCTAAGAAAAGAATCCATCTCTTACTTCAGAGTATAGCAGTACCATAAAACAAACATCACTGACCAGAAATCACACGTCCCCTTCTGCCTCGGTTATTTGTAAATTACCCCCATCGTATTGTATCTTAATTAGGCTTAATCCTTCTCAAATGGCCTTGTTTTGGTACGCTTGAATAATCTTACTGATTTCAAGTGAGATTATTATTTGCTAACAAATTGGACTTCCGGAATGACTGCTCAGTGTCTTATTTATAGTTCACTGCTAAAAGAAGATTGCCTAATGACTTTAGTGGTCTTTTTGGACCAGCACAGGTATAGTAATGGAGCTCATTAATAACACCTTAGCCTCGAAAAGCCTTGATGTTTTCAGTCATATCACAACGTAAGGGAAAGGATAATGGCCTATCCCTGTGCAGCAAAAGCCCCTGAAAGTTTTGTGAATCTGAAGCATCTTTCTGAAAACAAGAGGATTAGTGATGTCGTAGTCAAATTTCCTGACTCTTCACAGCCTTTTCGATGTTATTGAGGGTAGTAAAAGAACATGCTGGAGGCCAGATCTCAGGATTTAGAGCTTAGGGTTATTTCCATGGCATCTCCTGATGCAAGGAAGGCAGCACTGTCTGCTGTCGGCTGCATTTTTTGAAGGTATCTTGAGATCATTTGATCTCATTGAGATTGAGATCTTTTTTTTTTTTTTTTTGCCTACTGTGCGGCTGATTGAGGAGAGCAAGTCCCAACAGTGTTTGGTATCTGTTGGTGATAAAGGGTATCTTGTCTCCTGACTCTCTCTCTTCATGAGAACCTTAACTGCCAATATCTTCTCTTCCCGAAGGACATATATAGACTAAGGAAGGTCTCTTATGCCTATTCTTTCCATCTTTGTCTTATCTCTCAGGGGGCTTCACTGACATGCAGACTGGCTGGCAGGCTGTTTCTAAGGAGGAAACATCCAGGATCTTGGCCAGAGACCACGATCATCCTCACTCTTTGGGTTAGTTTTATTCAGTCATCTTCCTTTGGACAGGAACACTTGAAAGCAGTACCATGCATACCGCAGTATCGCCAGATGCACAGGAAGGGGCTTGGATAAGCATGCTACAAGGCTAAGAAATAATACTTGCATCAGCCCTGCTCAGTCACCCAGTGGACTGAGCCCTGCTCAGTCGCCCAGGCAGTTGTGGGGCAGGTGGAGAAGTGCCTCCTCTGCTCCTTGGTCTCGCTGCTTCTTCTCTTAGAATTTTTTTTATATCTTGTCCTTGCACAGTCTTTTTCTCTGAATATTTGATGATTTCCCTTCTTTGTTTCAAATTATTGCTCGTTGATACCAACTCAGCAGTTCCATCTCTATGTCTTTTCTTTGATTTTACTTTCGCATTTTGTGCAGCTTAGTAGTCAACTTGTCTTGTTTGCAGACTAAATGATGGGACAGCTACAACTAATCATTATCTTCCTTCAGTAAAACAGGACCGTTAACCAAAGGCTCACAACACCAGGACCTGCCTTCGGGATACAGGCCCAGAAATAACGAAGGCAGGTCACAGGTATGCCCACAGCTGTGATGCTGTCATCTAGGGGGAGAGAGAAAAGAGGTCTCCCACTCCACGTAGTTGCTTAGGTTGTGGGGGTCTCTGTTTCCAGGGACAACGACATGTTTTTCTGTCACAGATGAATTGCCATATGCGGCTGTAGCCTGGGAGGGTAAGAGGGACACAAGAGGATTACAGTGAAAAAAGCTGGTCCCAGCTTACAATCCACGGTCATGCTCCAACCCTCTGCTACAAAGTGCTGATGAATAAAGGAGGATCCCTCATCCCAGGCATCACAGTGGGGTAGCAGGAGTGAATGGATCAGACAGCAGGTCCACATCATCTGCACCTAGTTTCCCAAACTGTCAAACAATGCAGGTTTTCATATGCCCCATAGCAAGCAAGTAGCCTGCCAAAAGTGGTAATCTGGTGGCTGTTCCATGGCTTAATTGGTACTTGGCTGCATATCTGCTTACAGTCTGAACGGACATGCTAGTTTGAATTGGTCTGCTCACACAGGAGACAGAGCCTATGGATATGCTGATGTGAAAAAATTGTATCCGGTTTCAACCGGTGTGGCCAGTGTGTCTGGAAATGTGTTCAACTCTCTGTGTTGGACACCCCTGCTACAGAGCAATTTGTCATAATCTTTCAGACAGAATATTAGAATCTTTACGTAATCTAACAAGACAGCCGCAAGGAGATTTCTGCAGTGTAATTGTAGGGAGCATTACTGTAAAGCAAAGGAAAGGTTACAGTGAGCTTTACCTCTTGCAACAAGACCCAAGAAATATCTTGTCACTATAGTTTATAGGTCTCTAAGTGATTTGGCACCAAATTACTTAAAGGATGAATTATCTTTCACCTTATATTTCACTCAGATAACACGAGGCCAAATACCGGTAAATACTGTCTATTTCAGAGGCTTAAAGTGTGGAGCATTTTCTTCTGCTTTCAGGGCTTCAAGATGTTGAGGCAAGTCTCCTCTCATCCTTAAAGGTAAAGGGTTAGCTCTCAGGAGTGCAGAGGGAGGAGTGCTGAGTGCGTCAGAACGAGGAGAAAAGAAGAGGGCCTGGCAGAACGACCATTAATAAAAGGATGTGCAGACAGTAAGTTGCTCCCGCTTAATGACAGGATTATAAATAAATGCAGCTAAATACCTCAATCCCGTGGTGGGAACATGTTCATGCTTCTGTGCCTTCAGATACGCTCCTTTTCTCCTAGCTGTCTCGCTATGTTTCGATGTAATATTTGTTAAAACAGGCAGGGGGGAACTTATGAAGATCCTGATACAGAGCTGCAGAGAGCAGTTAGTGACAGTGTCAGTAGCTTTGGTCATGTTTTCATGTTTTAACGAAGTGATTTATGTCCTGTTTGAAGAAATAAACTTCTCCTTTGTCAGTGGCATGAACACTGACTCTTACTGTATCCCTGTACGTAGGAAGGAGAGAAAAGTGGGCATGCAGCTCTCTGCCAGGCGTCTAGGAGCTTTCATCTCACCTAACACTAGGTGTCCAGGGCTGGACATCCAGGTTTGCATTAGTCACCTGAGGCTCCCTTTCTAGTCTGCAGAAAGAAACAGATGTTTTCAAGCTGTGATTTATCTCACCTATCTTCAACATCCATTTTAGGACGAACTGAGTCACTAGCTGGAGGTTCCTGTTTATTGCCTATAGAAATGCCATCAAGGCGCTTAGCTCCAAAACAGGCATTTGGTTTGGAGCTATGTGAGTGAGAAGGGATGTAGCCTGCCCTCTGAGTAACGAGCTCGCGATAGTCCTGGCGGAAGAGGCGTGTGACCAGGTAGCGAAGGCAGTGTGGGGAAGTGGCATGAGCTCAGGAGCTTGTGCTGCAAGCCTCAGGCTGTGCGTTCGCTTTATGTGAGATGCCTTCATTAAGTAGCTGGCTCAGATCTCTCCATTGTGATGGAAAATTATTACTTGGTGAATAAAATTGAGTAATCCTGGGCAGAGCTTAGCTCAAAAGAACACTTGTGGAGAAAGTTAGGGAAAAATACTCAGGGGAAAATATTACTCCTCCAGAATGCTAATAATGTTCCTGAGGGAATTTGATTTTCTGAGCTCTTTGATCACTGCTTTGGATCTGTAATCTTCTTGATTATGACAAGTCTAGATCTGGTATACATTGTTAGCATCTTTCATAGAAAGACTGAAGTGACTCGTGCCTTAAAGGTTGTTCGAGTCTGTCGTGTACTGAGATAACAATGCTTGTGCTGGGCAGTAACTACGTTCAGTGCCAAATCTGGTGGAGAACCATGGGAAAAGCGAACACTCCAATACTAGAATGTAACAAATCTCTAATCTACTCGTATTTGCTCACACACTGTACAGAGCTAAGGGCTACTATGGAGGATCATTTCTTGATGACGGGAGAAAAGCAGCTGCTCATGGGTATTGCTCAGCCTGTGACCGATATTGAGAGCACAGATGGTGATACCTCGCTGAGTTATCTGCAAAGAGTCACAGGACTGCACGGAGACACTGGTAAGCGGTGTCCATTTTCGGCTTTGCTCCATGCTCCCAGCTAGTGGCATCAGCTACTACTCCTTGTCCTCAGCGGTGCCGCCACAGCATCCTACATGTCTCCATCCTGCTTCCCCTCTCAGAGCAGGTGTTGGTGAGGAG